CGTACCGACTGCTGTCTCCGGCAACGATCCGAGCTCGGCCACTTTTTAGTCTTTTACCGTCAATCCCCAGATCCGTGGCTACATTGCTGATCACGGAGCCTTTCACCATCTCCTCCGGAACAGAATATCGAAGTTGTCCGTTAGCGAAGTAACAAATGTAAAGGAAAATTATCCAAAGCATTACTTGCCCGTTGCTACTCCAGGTTTTTCTTCTGACGGCAATTTCCATCGCTATATTTTGCTACTAATATACAATCAATATTTTCAGTCCTAGGTATCCATCCCACACCTTAATCACTATCCACTACATGAAATGCAACTCTTATTTTGTGAAATTCTTATTTTTATTTTTCGGAATGCAGACCAGGCCCGAGGTGTTTTCGCCTTCTTGTTTTTGCTGAAATCTACCTCTGCATTACACACCGCATCTTGGTCTATCTGTGACATGCAGTAAAAAGGGAGGTGCGGCTGAAAATCCGTCAGTCAGACTACGCCTCCTTAACCAACAGCGGCCCTTACAGACCTGTGTGGGAAACGCTGGCAAATACTACATGAAACAACACTGTCTACCCTGTGGTCTCGAGAGTAACCGATTAATAAGAATTTCTGTTATTCACAAAGTACAAAATAATTATTTTGCATTTTGGAAAAAAAATAATAAATATATAAGCAAGTAATTATTTATTTGATTTGCATCTTTTTCTTCTGCAATAGTACGGACCCCATATTATGTTACCAAGCTCAGCTTATAAACATCTCTTACTTATTTATAAAGTAATTCATTTACTGGACTTTTTTAAAATTAAAAGAACTATCATAGTTAAGACACAAATAAGCATTGTCTGGTATCCAATAAACCCCAATATCAGTGAAATGACCCCCCCTCCCCCCCATGACTTAGTAATTGCCATGGTCTGGANCAGTGAAATGACCCCCCCTCCCCCCCATGACTTAGTAATTGCCATGGTCTGGACCAATAAGTGACAAGTCATAATGTCACAGTGTTGCATATTTATCACTGACTTAAAAGTTACTTAGCAACAATTTGACCTTACAGGGAAAGTTATTTCATTATATGCATAATAGTATCCTCATAATGGGATGAAATAGCTGTATACACTTATCTTTTGCACGTTCCTTCTCTTCTTCTTTCCGCTTTTTTCTAAACTGGCCACCTGATGGTTTAGACCAGGTTATTCAACTAAAATTTAAAGAGGTCCAGTTAGAGAGCAAGAGAGAAAAATAATAATAATAATAAAATATATATATACACACCTGACTGTTTCATGTATTTAACCGTGAAAATACACTTTTGACGTAGCTAATTTTAGGTTTATAGTCATGTCCTGCTCGCGCCGATCCTCCTGTGTGCCACGCCCCCCTCGCTGCCTCGTGTGGTATCCCCGTGTCATCAGCTGTTTCTAGTTGTGTTTCATTAGTTCTGTGTATTAAAATCCGTGTGTGCCTTTAGGAGTCCGGTCATTAACGTTGTGTAGTGGTTGTATGTACCTGAGCGTGGTCTCCTAATTAAACCCTGTTTTCACTCCACTCCTGTTTCCCCGTCCCGTGCCTCATGACATTTATAATGGAATAATATAGATTTACTGCATTTCTCTGAAAGCGTGAATGTCATGCCAGATGCTTCAGATTTGGCATCCCTGAAAACATATATTTGTGTTTCACCTGAGTTGATTTATATAACAAATAACATTACTTTATACAGTTGTTTAAAAACTTCAACGAACACAAAGTCACCAATAAACTACGTCTATTTATCCAACATGTTATATAATACATACTGTGTTTGAAAACTTTTCAGCTTTACGATTTAAGGACAGATCAGTCACTCTGTTAGGAAGATTACGGCCTTTTGGTTGTGGGTTTTAGCTTCGCTGCTGCTATTAACACTAACGGCACATTAGCGCAGACAAAGGGCTGCATACGCCGAACTACGTCTTGCTTGGTGGTCAAAGGTGTTTGACGTTATTTGCGTGGGAAACAGCGGCTCTCCTGCTAAACCACTACCGAAAACACTGTAAAAGCTGCGCCGGTTAAAATAGAGGCGTCCCATCAGGTTTTAAAAAATAACTTTGTTTTGGCTATCCGTATGGGACAGCTTTTCGGTCCGGACCCGGAACGCGGTCCACCTGTTAGTGACCTCTGGTTTAGACCTTTTCATACCTGTTCATTTGGCACTCCAGCATCAATGCATCACGGACCCCCCAAACATTTCAACCAAGAGTCAAAATNTGACCTCTGGTTTAGACCTTTTCATACCTGTTCATTTGGCACTCCAGCATCAATGCATCACGGACCCCCCAAACATTTCAACAAAGAGTCAAAATTAATTATTCTAAATGATTTCACACAAACCAGAAGACTTTTACGAATTGCATTAGTACAGTATAAAGTTAGCTGTGTGCTGTTTGATAGAATCCCCCCCAGTCCCCCCACCTGGGGCTTTCAGTGGGATGACCTGAGCTTACCCTAGCCCCGCCCCCCTCCGCATCTCATACTTCTGAGTGGTAGTCTGCCTGGCTCACAAACTAGAATCAGGGCGCCCCCTCCAACAGGGTTAATTGACCCACATGGTGACATAATATCATTGGCATGAAGTGCAAATGAGTGAGAGAAAATCAATCGTGCAAATGTCACTGTTCAAATGTATTATTTTTGTTTGTTTTCTTGCGCGGGGGCCTCATGCCACCCCCCAGCAAGATGCCGCCCTGGGTAGCTGCCTATGTCGCCCATAAATCCACCAATAACTGGCCTTCTGGTATTTTCCTGGTGGGCTGACGGGTATGTGGGCCGGCATAGTTAATCGCAGGGGATCTCCTTACCACTAACTGGGAGAGCCTGACCAGGGGAAAGCCCATCAGGTCCAAAACAATACATACAAATACATATACACATATACATCGATATACTGTATATCCAAAGATAGCCTTTATCACATGTAACAAACACAATTATACTATCCATCTCACAGGTGTCATTAACCACAACAGCCAATCCACATACTGTATGTTGACCTCACTGTAAGTACTATTGTATAAATGTTATGTTAAGGATGCAAATTGATAATTGATTTTACAATTTATCTATTGTAATAAATTATTTTAAGGTAAGTTTAAAGCTGTTCTCCCCATGTTTCCTCCAGGTTCTCCAGTTCCCCCCCACCCCCATGAGCTGGATAACTAGAGTAACTAAATTGCCCATAGGTGTGCATGTGTGAGTGTGCCCTGCAATGGGCTGGCCCCCCCATCCTGGGTTGTTCCCCACCTCATGCCCATAGCTTACAGGATAGGCTCTGGACCCCCTGCAACCCAAAAAGGATAAGCAGTTTAGAAAATGGATGGATGGGTTAAACAGGGTCTACCAAGTGATTCTGCAGGGAGTTTTCTCCACCATTTTTATCATCTCCCACATGGCAAGCAACCTCATCTCAAGTTAAAACTTGACATACATCCAAAAGTATTTTAATTAAATATTGTCTACAAGTTCTGCCTTTGCAGTAATGACATGTATATTAATTTTATTTACTCAATTGTGTTTTCGATATGCTAACTCATGCCGCAGGATAGGTAGGTAGCGGCATACCTGATCTAGCTTAATTGGTAAATTGTGGTTTTCAAAATGTAAATTACTAGATATGAAACAATCGGAGTCCGAGGAGCATGTATACGGATGACAACGCACCTTTCTGGTCATTAGTAATACACATGCTGCAGCTAGCTACATTGCTAAGGCGCCGTCCACGTGCCAAGCGGCGAACCGCCCAGCGCTCGGTGAAAGAGACTGGACGGGTGAACATTGCGTCATGAAAAAACGCTTGAGTGCGATTGTAAAGTATT